TTTTTTTTTTTTGTGCCCATTATTCTTTGATCATTCAACCAGTTTTTAATTTTTTACATATATATTCCAACAAATGCTGTAAACTATCGCATTCTAGTTTCAATAACTCCATGAACGATTTCCGCGTGAAGTTTTCTTATACGTATACCTAGAACAAACGAATCATTGCTTACTTGATAATAACTACCTAATTGAAGGTTATAAAGTGAGGCGTGCTTACACACACCTGTTAAAGGTAAGCGTGTGCTTTCTAAATCGGGTGTATCGACACCATCAACATTGCAGTGTTATGACACACAACTGAGTATGGGGACCTTATTTGAATTTGATGTCTTCTCCGAAATCGTCCTCTTTATAACAATTTGAGCAAAATTTTCATTTATGTGATATACTCAAACAAAAACAGTGTCAATATCTCGTATTTGATTCAAGTTTTTTCTCAGCAAAGTAAACCATTGTAAAAATTAAAAAAATTCACTTTTGTTTGTTTACAAAAGCAAGTGAAACTCGGAGATAATTAAATCTTTTGATGCATAGCAAATGTAATAGTCAAGTTGGTATGCTACCTTCCTGATAACGGGGAGTTTTAAGTGACAATTTCCTTATTTTTTTATCACTGCAGTAAGTATTATACTATAGTAGTGACTTGAATTATTTCTTCATCAATTTTACCCATTTCTGCAATAAACTATAATGCAGTTGAACTTCGATAACTCGAATACTTGAAGTTAAATTCCAACAAATACAAATTTCGTTCCAAAAATCGGACTTTTAATATTAACAAGTGAATTTATTTATCCCTGAAAATGTTACTATTGCAATTCATATAGCGATGGAAACTTAGATTTGCTCAGCCGGAGTACCGAAAACCACAACCACAGATGTCCGTACCTAATGCTATTCGTTATTCTAAATAGTGCCTAAGTTATGACAATTTTTAAGTTTTCGTTTACTGGCATATTACAGGTTTTCCGATTACGTCTGTCTGCAATACTCCCGTGGGTGTGAAGAAACATGAGTATCAAGTTTCATCAAGATATCTCAATTTGTACAGAAGTTATGCTTGCAGGGACAGACTGTCGAACGGTCAGACAATTACTTGGAATGCATTTTTATATAACTTCATATCTATCTCAAATAATTTTAAGTACTACAAACAACCCTTAGGTGAGCCAAACTATTATACTCTTTGCTGCTACATGTTACAAGAGTATAAACAAATGATAAAATATTCATACTTACAATTGCAATCTTCTATAAACAATCAAGAATCTTTAATACCAAATATAGACACTTTAAAATGTAAATATGTACACATTCGTCAATTTGTAAATAAATATGTATAACAATTTTTAATGTACTCCATTGTCACTCACATTAAACAACTCTGCTTACTATCAGCACTTTTCATCTTTTTGAACAATCTTTAAAACTGCTTAATCCTACTTCTATAATTGCAAAACTAATTTTATCAACAAAACAGCACTACATTCTATCAAATTGGAAGAGCTTGAAGTGCCATAACATCCCTACACATTCTCTACATCCGCCTGCATGTCTTTGCTTTGTGCTTGTATATGTCGGTCCTTTCCATACATATATCAAGCGATTTTAAACGAAAATGTGAGTAATATATGCTAATGATTCATATACATGTATATACAAATAAGAATTTAAATAAACTTTTTAGATTTCTGTTTAAAAAAATAATAATTGCTATTCTTTCCAATCTGCTTACAGCCATCGCGCACATTCAGGCGGATTATTTATCAGCACAAAACAGCTGTAGCACCAGCGACGCTGAGAATGCAACCAAAGATCCATATGGCAGTTTAAAATTTAAGAGCAACATACAAGTGCCTGCGTAAACGAGCACTTATATAAGTACATATGAACATACTTACTTTCTTCATGTTATAAATTAATTATATCAGAAATATAGTTAAATATTAAAAAGTACTGTTTTGATTATCAATATTGCAATTGTTTTATTCTTTCTGGATTCTATATCAAATTCTTTAATCGGCAGCGTTGCATACTGACGAAGCTGTGTTATTTCATAGTTCACATTATCTAGTATGTATTTTCAAATTTAATTTTTATTTACTTATTCCGCTTTTATACAGCGTCATTATATAACACGTTTGGAACTTAATTGTACAGATTTAGTTTAATTTCATTAGGGCTTTAACCAGATTATTAATCCTATTATGTATCGAGGAATTATATTTTGTATTGTGGTGTTTTTAGTTGATTAATTTAATTTTTAGTTTTTAATACCCTTAGCATTTTTGTTTTATATATGCCGACAGAATATATTCCTATCATGTTTTAAATCACGCACAATTCAGTTATTACGATTTTTTTTTTAAATTTCACGGCTTTTAATACAACTTTTTTCATGAAGTTATAATTATTATATAAATATAAAACAACTAGACATTTTCGGTAAATCATTCCTTGCGAATAAATGTTCTCCCCCTGCAAATAAATGAAATATTCTCATTTTAAATGAATTTCACAAATACTTGAATAATTGCAGTGAAAACGAACTTACGTAATTGTTTTCTTTTCCGTATTCTTAGTCTCCGGTCTAGCACGATTAAGCACTTTCAGAAAGTCGGACGTTTTTGCGCGCATTCTAGAATGAATGTACGCTTTTGAACACTGCAAAGCAAAGGTGAAAATTTTCGAAATTTAATCAATTTGCATAACGTAGCTGTACGAAATTTTGGCTTACCTTAATATGATAATGTAAATAATCTCGGAACATGTGTATTAGATTAATGGTGTTATCCCTAGTTTCCTTATTAGTATGTCGAGGGAATAACACTGAAAAAGCAAAAAACAAAAAACTGATAATCATGCCGTTTATTTGTTAACAAGTTAATATTAAAAACAAAAAAGGAAGATTAAAGTTTCAGTCCAAATTTGCATATACTGTCACTCTCTAGGTTTGTAACCAAACACAAGTCATCTGAGATAAAATGTGGTTTATTCAGGATGCCGTTTGGTCTACTATTTAATTTAGGAGTATTTGAGAGACATAGACCAAACGATAGTAAATATCCCACTTTTAGCTCCACCTATCAATGTTCATTTCTTTCTTGCTAGCTCTAAACGTTTC